AAGCTGCCAGGTAGGCTGCTCAAACAAAGTGAAGTCAAAGGAAACAGGATATAACCTTGAAGAATAAAATCTAAGGATGAAGAAAGTGTTAACTTTAAAAAGTTTGCATGGGGCACCTGGGTGGCGCAGTCGGTTAAGTGTCCGACTTCAGCCAGGTCACGATCTCGCAGTCCGTGGGTTCGAGCCCCGCGTCGGGCTCTGGGCTGATGGCTCGGAGCCTGGAGCCTGTTTCCGATTCTGTGTCTCCCTCTCTCTCTGCCCCTCCCCCGTTCATGCCCTGTCTCTCTCTGTCCCAAAAATAAATAAACGTTGAAAAAAAATTTTAAAAAGTTTGCATAACAGCAATCTTTACAGCTACCATTCAGCACCTACAAGGTGCCGGCCTGCAGTGTTAGCGGCTCACAGACTTCATGTATTTTGCATTAATTAATCTGCACGAGCGGCCATGCAAAAACAAAACAAAAAAAAAAGTGTTATTCTTCCCCCTTTGACAAAGAAGAAACAGAAGCTCAGGAGGTTTAATTAAATAGCATTGGTTTCGGTCGGCCTTGGCCGTGTGAGTCGGTGGCTTAAACCAACAAAGACGCACAATTTCTCGTGATTTCGTGGTTGGCTGGTGGTGCTTCAGCCGCTTTTGCTTGGGCTTATTCACGCAGCCACCTTCGGCCAAGGGTCCTCGGGGCTGGAGGTCCAAGATGGTCCCACTGAAGAGGTGGCCGGCTGACGTAGGCTGCTGGTTAGAGCAGCTCAGTTTTGCATGCATCGTCTCCCTCTTGTGGCTTACGTGATTTCCTCATACGGCAGGCTCAGGGCAGCATCCCACGAAGGCCAGGACAGAAACAGCAAGGCCCCCCCCACAAAGAACTACACTCAACGATCACTTTTGTCACTTTCTGTTTGCCGAAGCAAGTTCAAGGCCAGACCAGGTTCAAGGTGAAAAAATGGACTCCATCTCTGGATGGAGGAGGCCTAAGTCACGTTCAGAGGAGAAGTATGTTGGGTGGCAGGAATCTGTGGCCACTAAACAAGCTGCCAGGGTCCCCAAACTCAGCTTGTTAATAGCTAAGCTAGGGGCGCCTGGGGGGCTCAGTTGGTTAAGCGTCCAATTCTTGGTTTTGGCTCAGGTCATGATCTCTCGGTTCGTGGGTTTGAGCCACGCATCTGACAGCACAGAGCCTGCGTGGGATTCTCTCTCTCCCTATCTCTCTCTTTCAACATAAATAAATAAACTTTAAAGAAAAAATCATCAAGCAGACACTGGGTAAACCAACAATTCACATCTTGTCCCCAGTGAATGAAAACACAGGTCTAACTAGATTAAATGATACAAGAATATCTTACTTCATGTAACAGGAAGTTCAGAGGTAATGCAGCCTGCAGGCAGAGCATGATCAAGGCCCCAGTCCGTCTCCCTACCAGCTGTGCCCTCCTCTGCACGTTGGTTTATCCTTTGACTCCATTCTCTCATTGTCAAAAGAGGGCTGTCAAACCAAACAAACAAACAAACAAATAAGCTTTGGAACAACATGTTTATTTGGTCATATCTAGTAGGAGGTAGAGAAAATCTGTCAACCAGGGGATGTATGTCCTTCGTTCAGCCCAGCTGGTCCGGTCAGGCCATGTCTCCTTCTCTGGATCTAAGGCAGTGAGAAGGGAAGGCCGTGTGGTGATTGGCTTAGGCTGGATCCTTTAGCCAATCACTGATGAGGAGAATGGACTTGTCGTGATTAACTCAGACCAATCAGGACTTCCCTTGGAGGGAGCTGGGGAGGGAGCAGTGTGGCTTTAGTCAAAAGAGAGGCCAGGATATGGGGTGGCCATGTGAACAAAATCAGGCCGGAACAGAAAGGAGAAAGGAGGAATCAGACCAGCTAGGCAAGCAACAGTGCCCACCGTGGCAGGGAAAGGATTAAATACTTCTTAAATTCTAATGGGATCGTTACAAAATTAATGTAGACCCTTACCTCTCACCATATGAGAAATTCTTTTTGCTCTGGATCAGGGATGTCTATGATTCTGGGTCTGTCATCCCGGATGAGGCAGAGGATCCAGAACGGAGGTCCGGGGTGGGGGAGGGGGGGTGTCGTGTTCCGCGGGCTGTTTCTTTGGGCTGGTCCACACCCGCAGGGCCTGTGTGCTGCCTTCTGTCCCCCCATCACTTCTCCCCCCTCCCATCCTCCTCCTCCCCAGTCCTGACACATCACGCTCACCCTGTTCTGTGAACCGCATTACGTGTTTTACTCTGTGATGTCAAAACCCCCTGTCCACAATCAGTCCAGGAAATTGGATCACAGAACCACCTTCAGCTGAGGATGCCCGGTGACAAGCGCCCGACACTTTTCCCTGCGTTGACCTGCTCTGGTATCATCATAGCTGTAAAGCATTACCCCCTTTCATTCCTTGAGGTCTGTTGCTTACCCCTGACGACCTCCCCGGGGGCAAATGCCATGGGTGACGCTTCTGTCCTTTGCACAGTGCATGCCGTGGGCTCTAGAACACCCTTGGGTGTGAGAAACGTCTCACTCCTTTACTCTTCTCAATCTAGTTAAGAGTGATCTGCTCCCCTCCCCCCCACTTAACACAGACGGTAAGAGTGCCCATGTCGTCCCCGGGGGAGCTCCCCGCGCCCGTCTCCTGTAGGTCTTCAATGTTGCACGGAGTTCCGGTCCCTGGGCTCTGTCATCCACAGGCTCACTGGCCACGTGGATACATGTGCTGTCTGAGCTGCAGGGTTCCTGCAGGGCCAGTGGCTCAGATGCCCCCTGCCCAGCCTGACCCCCACCCGGCCCCCGCCCGGCCTCGCAGGATGCACCATGGACCACTCCCCTCTACCATTTTGTTCTGGAAGGGGGCGAGGTCCACTCAAGGGACCCCAAACTTCCAAGCCTTTTATCAGTCCTGGGAATGCGCCTCCCCCCACTCCAGGTGGGCCACTGTGGCCTTATCCCCCATCCCTTCTCCTCCCCCCACAGGGTCCCTCGCAATCTCTCCTCAAAGGATTTGGAAACTCGTGGGCCTGCTTTTCCTGAAGATAGAAGTGGGGAAGGGACATCCTGAAGCCAGTCCTTTTTTGTATTTTTGTTGACACAGTTTCTTTCAACCGTCTAGGGGAGGTCCCAGAGGTAAGGTTGGAACTGTCCGGAGAGTCAGGGAGTGTGGATGAAATTTGAATCACAGAACTCTGGACTTTAAGAGACAAGGGCTAGTCCATTGGATTCTTACGCTCTGCCCCGGAGCAGGACCTTGTGTAACACTCGCCGACACTAGAAGCAGGGCCCAGGGAGGGCCAGCCCAGCGACTGCTAAGTCCCCACAGGTGGCGCGTGTCAGACAGCCCCAGGGGAGGCCCGAGCAGTGAGGCCAGAGGAAGGAAGCCCAGCTCTCGCAGGGGAAACGCCCCTCATCCATTGCCCCTTTCTAACTGAGAGCGAAACTCCAACACTTCAGTTACACTTTTGTGTAAGCAAAAATTAATTTTCAAAATGATGAGTGTGTAGAATATTGGGTGTCTGCTAAGGTAGACGTTATGGGGCAGTCACGTCAACCCCGTCGTAAGGAAAAGGTCATATTTATCGCTGAGATTTCACTAGAGAGAAACAGAGAATGCTATTGAAGGATTGCAGTGTATTTTTTATTGACATGTTAGGAATGCCTAACGGTTCCGATACATGGATTTTGATATGTCTTTGAGCACGTCGTCGGCTTGAGGCTAGAGTAGAACGCCGTAGAGAACAAGCTCAAGCAACAGGGATACGTCCAAAGCACCAACACAGAGGCAGACGGTCAGACACAGCCTGCGTTTTTGCAGGATACCGTTCACTGGATGAAATTCTAAGAGAATTGACAATGATTCAAACAAACAAGTAAAACAAAAACCGGCTTTGGAGTGTCTAGAAATTAAACCGAAGTCCCCGACTTTAAACTTTAGACTCGTGTCCCATATTTTGATGAACGTTCCGGAAGGTCTCAAGTGGATGGGTTGTTAAAACCACAGATGGCAGCGAAATTCTGTAGTGACGCCAGGATCCCGAAAAGGAAAGCTAATCTCCGACCTACGAAGCACATTTGAATCTAAAATATGCTTTTAAGAAGCATCGTTGTGAGGTTTGTTAACCTGGACAAAATCGCCTACTTATGCACGAACCAGGATAAAGCGTTGTGGTGGGCACACTAGGTTGGAACGGCCTAATTCAGCTACTGCATCGTCAAACAGGGACGAGACAGGGACGATCCGGTGACTGTCTAGAGGAAGGCCAAGGGGAGGGGCACAAGTGACCGATGCAGGCGGGGAGTGCCGTGACAGCGCCTGCCACAGGCATCTGGGGACGGACAGGTCGCTCCGGCTGAGTAGCTACCACATTTCGCGTTTCACCTGAGCTCATCGCTATGGATGTGCCGTGCTCGCTACCAGGATGAATTGGGCTTTCCGGTCTTGGCTGAAGGTTCAGACAAATGCTCGTGTGCAGCGCTGCTCCCCCACAGTTAGATGCAGGGCTTTCACCAGCACGAACGACGCTTGGAGAGCACTGGCCACACGTGCGTGTGCACACACGTGTGTGTGTGCGTGTGTGCGTACGTGATGTGCTGACAACAGCGGTTGTACGGTTCTCTCTGTAATGCTTCGGAGGGTTGTTTCTCTGCCGCTCATCGTGTGCCTTTGGTAGGAACCATTCGAGACTAAGGGGCCCTGGAAAGAACACGGATTGTCCACACTAAACCAAGTCCGCAAGCCCTCGGTTTGCGCGAGTTTACGGGCTTTTCTTCCCTCCCTGCAAGGAACACAGGGCCACCGGCACTTCCGTTTGTGTTTGCCGGGAATCCTGAGAGCCCCACCACAGTCTTCCTACAAAAGCACAGTTGGAACGGCTTCAAGTGAGGGGCAGGGCCCAGCCAGCCAGACCGCGCGCGCGGCTTCGGGGGGAGGATGCTTCCGGCATCTAGCGGGTGGACCAGGACAGCCCCCACGGCACAGAACGACCCAGCGTAAAGTGTCAGTGGTGCCCCCGCCCAGGAGGAAGCATCAAAAAATGAACACTCGGCTTATCTGTGAGCATCGTTCGTCGTCAGCACTTTTGTTCGGGATGCCCCGGTAAGGGTCTAGCAAGTGTCGTCACAGAGATGCTATCGTATGAGAAGCGGATGTGGCAGAATTGACTTTACGAGTGTACTTGGGGCTCAGGACTACGGAACCACGGAGGAGCTCAAGGAGACACTTGGACTTTTCAGCTGGACTTTACTGCGTTCTGTGTGGGATATTATGTATAACTTGTAGATTCTGAAGCCTCAGAGGCCTGGAGATGTGCGGGAGACTGGGCGGCCCCTCCTCACCCCGGGTGCGGGACAGGCACGTTCTGGCACCGGCCCCCACGCCCTTTCCAGGTGAAGCACTGCCAGCCCGTTTTGCAGACAACCGAGTGGAGGCTTAGAAAAGCCGAAGTCCCCAAGCTGGGAAATTTCCGGAACAGAGTTGCAAACCCAGACCTCAGAGCCTCTACTCCTTCCTCCGCGGGAGGCGACCCCCAGGGACCACATTCTTCCAACCGCAGAGCACACGAATCTGAGCAGCAGGAGGGAAAAATGAACAGGAAAACGACCAGGCCCGTCATCTGAACCGTGGCCCCGTCACACCGAGCGTGCTAAGTCTCTGCTTCCCTTCCTGGGTTTGTGCAACGGCTGGAAAGCGTCACCCGGGTTATCTCTACAAACCTCCCGCCGTGTGGACCCTTCAGATAATTCGCAGAAACCGGATTTCTCTGGAGTTACCTGGACAAGAGCAGGGGAGACGCCAGTCTGCACCCCCGGAAGTTTTCGGGCTACAACACCCGATCCACTCCCCGCCACTCTCTCCGGCCTGAGAACCGTGCACTTGCGCTTTCCACGTGTGCGCGGCCCAGCGCTACGTATTGTTCTGACTTTGGGTGGGTGGGGGGGGGGGTGTCACCGACTTTTCAGAAGAACAGGCAAGAGACAGGTCTATTCTGGAAACCGTATCACAGTGACCTCCAAATTAATTACCAGACCCTGGCTGTGTTTTCCCAAGATTTTGGCACGGCTCGTGTCAGGGCAGGCGGATGAGGCCGATTTCACGTCCGACGCACCGATGACGACGGCACATCGGAATCTGGGGGACATGTAGTTGTATCTGGGGACTCATAGCACATCCAGATGAGCACGTGAGCACAGTGTGATACGGGGGTCTGGGAAGACCGTGACCGTGCCGAGCAGGACACTGCCCCATGACCCGGTGACAGGCAGCCAGAGCCCCCGTGATGGGGGGGGGGCCTCCCCCCCTTCCCCGCCTTCTGATGCTTCTGATGGGGGCTCTGTCCCCCCTTCTCCACCTTGGGCTGACACATAACATGCAGCTTGCCAGATCTCGGGGGCCAGTTTCGAGCTTTTGCACACATGACAAATTCTAAAGCCTCATTTCCTTTGTAGGCACTTTATAGATTTAGTACTAAGGGCATGCTTTCACTGCCATCCTGGGATCTAAATTCTAGTTTGTCTGGTGGAAAGGAACTGATGTCAGGGGCCTAGATCACCGTACCAGCTGCGTTACTCTCAAACCCCAAAGGTTTTCTTGCTTCGGAGACATTTATTTTCGGTAACCTCACCCCCAGAACCCAATTACCCTGAGCCCTTTTCAAGCAAACCCGTAACAACCCACGATCATTTCAGAAGGGAAGCGGGGCCCTGTTCCCTACCCTGTGAGGCGGGCCGCACAGCAGCACGGGGGGACGGGCGGGAGGAAGAGGGCCCACACGGCTGTGTTGGTCCGGATTATCGTGCCTGTCGTCAGGTACGTGGAGACCCTCTGGAAGTGTCTAGGCCATGATCTCCTCAAAGCCAGACAGCTGTTTCACATGCTCGACCTGCATGGAGTGCCTCCGGAGTAGTTTCTTTTGACTCCTCGGGTCAGCTCTCTTCGGTGAGCTGGGAGCCACGGGCAGCATGGATTTTAGGCCGCTGGCAAGTGGAGAAGAAGGTTTGCCGCCGGGCCTGATATCTGGGATGGGTGGGTTCAGATTTACGTTTAAAGGCGGTAGGAATCCGGGCCTGGCGTGCGAGATGCGGTCCAGCAGCAGAGTCCCAGAACCTCGCCTTTCCAGAAGAGGCGGTGGCCTGGGGCGCGCCGAGCTGGGGGAGGTGCTGGGCACCGCGTCCAGGGACTCGCGGGAGCCATGGAAGAGAGCCACGTGGGAGCCGTTCAGCCTCTTCCTCTCGAGGGGCCCTTTGCCCGACTCCAGGGAGACGGGATTGAGCTGGTCAGCCCCTGACTGCAGATCGAAATCGTACGGGTCATTTTCCAGCCGCTTGCGGGACACTGATGGACTGACTCCAGCCTTCTCCTGCTCCACAGGGAGAGTCCCTCTTCTGGCCACACGAGGGTGGGACGCCTGGCCCTTGTCGTTGTAGGCGGCCTTCCAGGATGCGGGTGCCGGCGAGGCTGGGATCTTCAGAATCTGCTCTGTGAACGTGGGGAACAGGGTGGGGTCTTTGCCGTCGATACTGCTGGCTCTGGAGAGCGGCCCCCTTTTGGGGAAGGACACGTCGCTAATGCTCTTGATGACCTCACTGTCTGTGCCCGCGCCGTGGGCGTCGTCCTGACGCATGTTAGCAGCCAGCACGGACGGCGCAATCAGGCCCCAGGGTTCGGACTGGAGCCTCTTCAGCTGGGGCAGGCGGGCTCTCTTGAGGTTCCCAACCTTCCTGGTGGGTGACCCAGGCTCGTTGAGAGCCTTGGCGGTGTGGCAACCACTCGGATGCCCCGTTTGGACGCTGAAGAAGTCGTCCTCCCGCTCGCTGGGCGGAGCGCCCAGGCCCGGAGCCTTCAGTTCGACGTCCGAGGGAGACGCGCACAGTGGAGGTGACTGTCTGTCTTCCACTTTGGGTGACGGAGGGACGTTAAGGTACTGTTTGGCGGTTTGGGCGCCCGCTGATGATTTATCTGTCGTGATGATAATCACCTCCTTCCCTTTGGCTTTGCAGGCGTCGAGGAGATGTCTCAGGGCGTCTTTGTCATCCGCGTGTATCGCGTAAACCAGAGCCGAAGCCCCCGTGCGGTCCTCGAGGCTGGGGTCCGCGCCGTTCTCCAGGAGCAGGGAGACCACCTCTCCTCCGGCCCTCCTGATGCAGGCGTGGATGAGGGCCGTCTTGCCAGACTTGTCCTGGATATTGGGGTCCGCCCTGTTGTCCAGCAGGTACTTGACCATCTTGGACTTGCTGATGCTCTGCTGGTCCACGTGCTTGGTGATGCAGGCCACCATGAGAGCCGTCTCGCCTTTGTCATTGCTCTCGTTGATGTAAGCGCCCCCTTCCAGGAGGAGTCTGGTCAGCCTGAGCCTCCCCAGCCACACAGCCTTTAAGAGTGAGTTTCCGTCGGTTCTCAGTTCAGTGTCCTCCTCCATCGCGCTGGCCTCCGCGCCTCCGAGCCGCCGCGGCGACCAGACCTAGCGAGGGAAGAAGAGAGAAGCATGGCGTGCCTTCTGGAGGCGCCCGGGTGCTGATGGTGCGGCTGTCACAGGGCTGGAGGCGGTCCTGTCCCTGCCCGATCCCAGGTGAGTCCACCTCGGCCGCATCGTCCAGCTCATCTGCGTCCGTCTCTTCATCTGTGACGTGGTGGGAGGGACGGGGAAGGCCGCCTGGTGAAGCCACGCTGGGGGTTACGGGAGAGCGGACAGAAAACATCCACACAGGACAGCAGCTGACATAAACCTGGCAAGCGATCGCACACGCGGGGGCTGCCCGCCCCACACTCACCTCAAATGCCGCTTAGGAAACTCCGCTCCATGCCCACGGGCACCTGCGTCCCACGAGGGAAGGCGTGTGTCCCCCCGGGTCACTGCCGCAGCGCCGACATCGGGCAGCGATTCACACCCCATGGGTCACCTCGTAGATAGCGGATGCACTGTTCTCCCAGGCGGGCATCCGAAAGGCCGGGAGGGAATCCACCAGAAACACGGGTTACTATCGCGATCGGGGAGGAAGCAGAGAGAGAATCATCGCAAAGCAAACTCAACCTCGCGGCAGCCCTGATGTCACAGCCCTCCCCTCCTCCCCTTAGTCTTCCAGAAGAACGCCAAAGCACGGCCTTCCCGTGGGCAGGTGCGAGGCGGAGGGCGGACGGGACCGCACGTTGCTCGCGGGCGTCACAGGGCACAAAGCTCAGGCGGCAGCTTCCTCCGCCGGGGTGAGTCTGCGGCCACCGAAGGCTTTTCCGCTTTCGTCCTCCCCGCGGCCGCCGCCCGGTTCCCGCACCCGGAGCCTCCGGGCCGGGTGTTGCCGGAGAGCCCTCACCGAATTCGGACAGGCGGGCCCCCTCCCTGGCCCAGGCGTCTGCCGGCACAGCCCCTCCACGCGGGCTCCCGTCCCTCCTGCCGAGGAGGGGCCGCGGTTCCCAGGGTTTCTCGTCGCCCGGTGGGCACCACGGCTTCCCGACGCCACTGCCGCGAGCGGCGGCCAGCGGTTCACAACGTCCACCGGCCTGGAAGTCAGAGCCTGGCTTGGCCGAACGTGAGAGAGGGATTCACACCCCTCATAAGCCTTTCATACGCTCACAGACACGTGCCGTTTGCTTAGAAGGCCCAAACCGCACTCTCCCGGACACGCACACGCGTACGCACGCCTCGACGTCGCTCTCTTCCGAAGCCACGACGGCGGACGGCCCAGCTCGTCTCTCTGCCTCCAACCGCCGTGTCTCGGTGTGACGTCGTTGCTGTTGTGGGTGTTCCCGCGAGATCTTCTGCAGCAACGTGACCACGAGTCTCTGTCCCCCCGTGCTTCCGTCTTCAGCCTCCTGCGGGTCTGTGTGTGTGCGGGTGTGCACACGGGTGTGCGCATTTACGTGTGGGGTGTGCACGTAAGTGTGAGCACGTACATGTGTCTGTGTAGGGCGTGTGCACGTGGTGTGTGTGTGCGCACACACGGGCGCTGGCCTTTCCCTTAGGCCCCACCATCCCTGCTCGGCACTGGCGCTGCGCACACGGGGTCAGGGTGTCGAGGTCTGTGTGCGGCTCTGGACGTTTGCAGCAGGATTTCCGGGCGCTACATAACGGAGCGGGAACGTGCAGTGAGGGTGCGAGGTCTCCGCTCAGCGAGGGCCCTTCTTGTGCTGGCGCATCGCCCCCAGGGCCACCAGGACTCCTGCACACACCATCCGTCCGTCTGTCCACCCAGGGCTCCCACGCCTGCACGCACTGTCTGTCCATCTGTCCACCCAGGGCTCCCGTACCCACGCGCCGTCTGTCAGTCTGTCCACCCAGGGCTCCCGCGCCCACACACTGTCTGTCCATCTGTCCACCCAGGGCTTCCCTGCTCCCCACACGTGCGGTCCATCTATCCGTCCACCCAGAGCTGTGTGCCCCACACGCACTGTCCGTCTGGCTCTCAGACGCCCCGCTCGCTGTCCCCCTGAGCCGCTTTCTAACTGCGAGGTCTAACAGAGACCCCGCTCTGTTTAATTATTCACCACCCTGCAAACCTGGGCTCAAATGTTCCTTCCTTTCTAATCAAGAGGAAAACCACTCAAGGTGGAAGAGAACCGAGTAGAGTTACAACCAGCTCAGCTCCAGGCTGTATGAACACCTCCCACAGATCACGGTCCTTCCCCAACGACGAATGGCCAGTAAGCACACAAACAGGTGTTCGGCCTCGTGGGTGGTCAAACGAAACCAAATCAAAGCCCAGTGAGATACCAGGAGGCACAGTGTCCAAATTAGCATGGCTAAAATTAGCCAGCCTGGCAATGCCCGGGGAGGGACGGGAAGCAACGGAACCCAGTGGGTGGGAGGACGCGTCCAGCGCTCCAGCGGGTAATTCCGCACCTGGGTTCTGTCTGTGGGAGCCCGGAAAACACGGCCAAAGTCCTGCCTTCCCAGCGTGCACACCGCGCGCCAGGGGCCAGTGCCCCCCCCGCCCATCAAGAGGAGGGGTCAGCGTGTGACCCACAAGATGCGGCAGGAGTGACTGTGACTTTCGAGGCAGGGCCTCCGTGGGCCTCCCAGCTTCCAGTTTGCTCTCCTGGAGCCCCGCTGCCTCATAAAGACACATGGGCTGTCCTGCCGGGGAGGACACAGGGAGCCCCAGCTGACCGCGACCGTTCGGGCGAGGTCGCCCCGGACCCCCGGTAGTTACAAGTGCAGGCAGGACCCCGGGCGAGGCAGCAGACGTGCCCAGAGCCTGGTCCAAACTGCAGAAACACGCACAAACAAGTGGTTCTGGTTCTAAGCCACTCGTTTGGGGAAGGTTCGTTCATATCAATAATTACCGATAAATCTGTGCAGCGAACCAGGTACAAAAGCGTTCCCGACAGCACTATTCACAAAAAGCAAAAGCGAGACATCCTGCAATGAAGAAAATAAAGAAATTGTGCCGTATTCATACACTGGGACGCTATACAACACTAGGTACTCTTTCTCACAGACTCACACTCACAGACCCCCCCACACACAGACATACACACACTCACACACACACGGTTGATAACCGCATCTCCTGGATTCCTTGATACTTCGCCACCTTCTGTGCTGAGCCCTGGTGTATTAATCTCCTGGGCCAGCCCCCTCCCAGAGCCTGCCCCCCCCCCCCGAGCCCCCGAGGCAGGAACACGGTCTTCTCTCCCTCGTCGGCTTCGGGGTAGTTGGAAAGAGGATGAGGAAGAGAAAAGGGGAAGGTCATGTGGGTGGACAATCGGGTCCTGTCTCCGTGTCGCATGGGGGGCCGGCCACATCCCTCAAGGTCGGGGGTGGGGAGGGAGGGGACAGCACGGGACATCTAGCTGATGCCTGTCTCCCTTCGTTTGCGGTCAGGGGCCACCTCCTGCCCGGAGCTCGGCCTCGTCCCTAACCCCCGCTGCTGAGGAGAGAACAGGGTGGAGCCCAGGCGTTCTGGATGCTCCCAGCCCATCTACAGGAATGACCTTCTCTGTGCTCGGGGAGCTGCTCCTCGTATAGCCTCTGGCCAGCCTTCACCGTGGCCTCCCAACGGAAGTTCCTTATGTGACACACATGCCAGGAAACAAACACTTGTGTGAGGACAGGACCAGACCCTTCGCTCTCCTGCCGCCTGCCGCGCGCCGCCTGGCGAGGCCTCGAGACCCACTCTCTGCCCGGGGCCCACTCCCCGCCTCAGGGCTTCGGCCACCGCCTCGCCTCCTGGCCCCGGTGGCCTCCTCTAGGCGTGCCCCCTCCCCACTGCATCAGGCCAGGGGGGGCCCAGGCCCACACCTGCGCTCGGCTGACTGGGGACTCGGTCTCCCCGGAGGCCTCCAGGTGGCGAAGCCACTCAGCACAGAAGCGTGGGCGCGTTCACCCTCTGCAGAGTGTATGTGGACCGAGAGCGTGTGGCGGCGGCAGGTAGGTACCAGGCAAAGTCTTTTCCTGGTCTTCTACCAGAGCCTGCTCTTGGCGGGTTCCAGAGCAGGAATTGTCATTCCTTCACTCCTCCCCCCGCCCCCCGCGTCTCCTAACCCCATAAAGCGTTGATGAACTAGCTCGTGTCTGCTTATGACACGTGCACTAATTTCTATTATTTATAACAGAGTAAGCCTTGACTGACACACTGGATTACCTGCCCACCCATCCATCCATCCACTCATTCATTCGCCACCATATAAATGTTGAGGGTCAATACACGTGCCAGGCATTAAGAACAAATAAGTGTGTGGAATTCAGGCTTGGAAGGTCCGGCGGGAGGCCGGAGGTCACCTGGGAGCCCCTGAGAGATGAAGACGGTCAGAAGCGGCAGTGCCAGGACACTAAGGAAGCATGAAGCCGGAGATGTATTCAGTAGTGACTGATCGGATGAGGGCATCAGCCAAGAGCTAAGTCACTTGCATTTGGGCATTTACCTCCTGCTGTGTGTGCATCACAGACAAACGTCAGGAACACCTAATGCACGAAAGACCACGTGCCTTTCAGGGCTTCCCAGCCTGTCGGAGAGAAGGAAGCAATTCTGACCCAAAGGGGCTGACGTGTCCCCAGAATTTTGAAACCCCGTGCACTTTGACTGCCCTGGGCACCATGTTTTAAAATTAGCAGCCCCCAAGGGGGTGTTTTTCTTCCCTGTGTTTCAGAAGAAGAGTTAACGGAGAAATGAGCAGAATGTGCCTGGTTCCTCTCCTCTTGTCCCCCACCCAGCCCGCCCCTTCTCCCGGTCACTCCTCACGGCTGTTTTCTGTCTCAACCCCACCGTCATGGGGTGGGCACACCTCCCAAAGGCACAGGGACTGGAAGAGACACACCGAAGACTAAAATATCACCAATGCCAGAAAAAAATAAAACGATGCTTTCTCTGATGGAAGGGGCGGGTGGGTGGAAGTGATTACCATGTTCGTCCTGAAGCCCTGGGGCTATTTTACCGTCCACAGAATTATGAAAGTCTAAGGTTTCCGAGGCTGCAAGGGGCCGTGTTGTCCAGTCGTTCCCAGTTTAGAAATGGGGAATTTCAGGACAGATCGAGTCCTTTATCTTGCTGAACCCAAGCTCTCTCACTCCCGTGCTGCCCCACATCTTTTGCCTGAGCAGTGTAGACCAAGGCTGCCTAGTAGGGCCAGGGACCAAGTGCAGCCCACAGGGGCAGGTACGTCTGGCTTGACCGGCATAGTGTTTTAGTTTTGTTTCAGTTTGAATATTTTAAAATGGATCATTCATTGTTCAGTTTGGCAAAGGCCCTGCCACTCTCTGTAGCCTTACAACTGACCCAATTCATACATTCAGGCTACTTTCCTGGTCTTTGTAGGTATGTGGGTCTATGACACTGGGTGTAAAAGTAAACTGCTTGCGACACAAGTCATGATGCTGTGTCTGTGTTGTCCCCATCACCTCCTAGCTTCTTACCTCTACAGGTTTGTTAGGACTCTCTGATGAGCTACCAGATGGAGAAGCCCTTTGTGTAAGCTTTAAAGCAGGGTGTGCTTCCGCAAGCCATTATAAAAAGGTAACCAACGGGGCGGCCGGAGGGGGGTGGTGCTCAGTGGCTTCAGCGTCCGACGTCGGCTCAGGTCACGATCTCACGGTTCGTGGGTTCGAGCCCCGCGTCGGGCTCTGTGCTGACAGCTCGGAGCTTGGAGCTTGCTTCGGATTCTGTCTCCCTCTCTGCCTCTTCTCCACTGGTGCTCGCCCTCTCTCTTTCTCTCTCTGTCTCTCAAAAATAAATAAATGTTGAAAAAAAAATTTTTAAGTTCATATCTAAAAAAAAAAGTGACTCAATTATTTCAGTGCAGATAAACCACCATGTTTTGTCTCCTCCTCCTCGAGTCACCTTGGCATCGGATTTCCAGCTGACCTTGCCGTGTTTGGCACCGTGGTAAATCGGAGGATTGAGGCACTGCATTTGGTTCCAAGTCTACCTGTATTTGACCCCCGTGGGAAAGGGAGGCAAAAGAGGAGGGTCCACCGGCACCTGCAAACGTCTGCAGAGCACCTCCTGTTCCCAAGGAAAGAACTGGGGACACACATGACCGTACTTAGAGGCCCAGGGTTTCTAGGACTTTACAACATTCATGCTTTGTGTTCATCTTCTTTCTGGCTGTGGCCTTAATCTTGTCTCTCCCCTACCTTCTCAATTTGTGTTTGTGTTTTTTTTTTTTTTTCCAGTTGAAGGATGTGCTGTATTCACGGCAGTTTCAGTGAGATCAGCATCCCGCTGTGACCACGTCTGCACACGTAAGTTTGCACACAATTATATCCTAATGAATCTCAGCTACTTCTGATACGTGTCCACCTGACCTCCTGTGTATCTTTATAAAACATCACTTGAAATTCTTTGTGGAACAAAATAAAAGATAATGGTTGAACATGTTTTCGGTTGATCACCTGGCTCCAGCTGGCACGGACAGCGTTTCTCTAGATGCACTTCAGGTCCACGATTGCCCCGTAATCCAAGCTTCTGAGGGTGCACGGTCGTGGTGGGGCCATGGCAGAGAAGCAGGCCACCCGGGTTCTAAGCTCAGCCCTGCTACAAGGTGGCTGTGAAATTAATTGCTGGCCAGCAGCATTTTGCCCAATGCACAGAACTCCGTCTCTGCCTTCCAAGATTGTTATAAGGGTCAAATATAGGCAATAGGGAAACACTCTTCAAAGTCCTATAAATATTTAAAGGATTATCATGTTGCATTAAACTCGTCCAGGATCCTACCTCTGAGCCCTGATCTGGCTGGGGTACTCAGCCCGCACCCCAGGGCCTCTGCCATTCATCACCCAACCTCTCCCTCTTCCAACCACCTGCTCCCCATTTCTGTCCTCCGCCCCCCAACCGCGATGGGCTGTTTGCTGAGTTTTCCCACATACAGATCTCTTTGACCCCCCCACACGTCTGCAAGGGAAGCATTATGATCTTAACCTTACAGATACAGAGCCTGCCGCGCAGACAGGTTGTGCGATCTTGCCCAAGCGTGTATGTTTGTAAGCTGTAGCTTGGCTTCGAACTCTTGGTTCCTCTGAACCCAAGTTAGGCGCTTTCGCGGAGGACATTCTGCCGGCTCTGGCACACCTCCCCACTACCGCCACCTGGCGTGCGGTGTACAGGTGCAGCCACACCACCAAGCGGTCGTGTAGACTCGGACGGGTTTACTTGGCCTCCTCTGCTCCCATTTTTGATCCGCAGCACACGGATAATAGCACACAAGCTCGCGGCGCGCGTAACAACCGCAGAACGCAGGTGGGGCGCTTAGCACAGGGCCTTGGCCCAGGCGAGCGCTCCATAATGTTAGATCTTGAAGGAGTTTGGGTGCGCCTTTCAAAATCCAGGAGGCCGCCGCGCTCGGCCATAGCATTCGCGGCAGCTTGGGGATATTTTATACCCCGCCTCTTCCTTCTGCAGCCACGGGAAGCAGTTAGAGGCGGATCCGACGCAGAGCTCCGCGTTAGCGTTCCCCCCCCCCCCGCCCCCGCCCAGGGTGGGGGCGACGGCCCGGGCTCTGCGCGCTGCCCGGCGCTGTCCGAGGTGCTGGACGCCGGCGGGGCGCGCTCCACGCCGCCGGCTCTGCGCGCAGCTTCCAGAAGGCCCTGCGCGGTAAGTGCGTCTCCATCCCTGCTCTGAAATGCTCACCTTCAAACTCTTCACAATTTCTGGAGCATTCTCGGGATCACAACCTCTCACCACCCTGTCGATCCTCAGAGGTTTCTGCAAACATGTAAGCTTTGCTCCCCCTTCAGTGTCTGCAGAAATCCAGACGCCTATCACCCAGCCCCGCTCCGCAACCATCTCCTACAAAAATCCAGGCCCCTGCGCACCTCACCCCCACGCGTCAATGCAAAAATGAAAAATGTAAACCCGTGTTCCACACCCTTCTCCCACAGTTTCCTGTGATAAAACCAGACTTCCCCCCTCCAGCCTCCCACTCCTGCCTGCGGCTCAACAGCGTGGGCTGACTTTTGGGGAGCGCAAGATCCCTCTCACACAGTGAGCCACCGGAGACCCCTGCGGGTGCGCTTACCTGCTGGGGGTGCTCACCAAACGAGGCCACCTGAGTGCACGCCACCGGTAGTGTCATTGCTCCAGAAGCAAAGTCAGGGGCCCTCGGCTTGGCTTCGGGCCGCTTACCGAAGGGCGCTGCCGGGCTGACCCGCGCGGGGCGCTGGGTTCACGCCGGGCCTCGCGGGTCCTGTAGAATGACTTGCCCGGAACTTCAAGGTTCGTCAGTAAAGCCTCTGCGTCACCCCTCGCTTCTCCCAGTTCAAGCGAGAACTCGGCAGTTTCTTTAAAGAGAAAGAAGGAGGCGTGGAAGACGACGGTCTCGCCCAGCTCCGGTTTGCAGGTCTCCTGCGCAGCCCGGCC